TTAAAATTTTTTTTATTTAATATGGTGGTTGGTACTGGTACACATAATCCTAGAACAAAGATATTGGAGATAACTTCACTTTGCAATTTTGACAGGTCATAAATTATTTTATGTCTTGTATTATTCAGAGCAAATTTTTTATATACATATTTATATTCAATCAACCCTCCGATAACGTGGTGAGTGCATACCGTGTAATATAGAAACCGTGCTATAAGAAACTCGGATTTTCATACAATCCAGAATAAAGTCCATCGTTGAAAAGGGCTCTGACACAAATGATGTGATTGTAATGTAAATCACTTCGACTAATGAGAAATCACAACTGCTTCTTGATACAATTATTTTTAATACAATAATTAATACATTAAAGTAAATGAAAAACGATAAAAATCTATATATATACAACTGGTATATTACTATATTGTTAAATTATTATAATTTTTTTTACGTAGAATATTAGACATTTTACTGTTTCTTTATCCTTATCTTTCTAAAAATCTGCGCTAACTGCTGTCGAGGTTGAAGTGACATTTCGTTCTTGCCAAATTCCAGTGCTTGAAGTGGGTTTTGTCCTTTTATAGCATAACTCTACTTGACTAGTAAAATTAATGGGCCAATTCTCCGATAAAATAGAAATGTTATGGTAACACTATGTTACAGATCTGGAAATATAATTAAAATTAAAATTAAATTATATGGAAACAGTGCTATAAGGAACTAGGTTTTTTGCACAATCCAGGATAAATAAAGTCCACTAATAAGAAATTACAACTGCTTTTTAGTACAATTATTTCATTAAAGTGAACGTAGAACGATGAAGATCTATTCAACTGGTATATTACTATATTATTAAATTATTATAAAATGTTTAACGTAGAATATTAAAAATTTTATTGTTTTTTTATCCTTTCGAAGTGGCAATTTGTCCTTGCCAAGTTCAAGTGCTCGAAGTGGATTTTGGTCCCTTTATATATGTAGCTGTCAGATGGCATACCCTTTCATATACCAATAAAGTTATTGGGCCAAATCTCCGATAAAATAGAAATGTTATGGTAACACTATGTCACTATACGGTAAATCTTCCGTCAACACGGCATTATAATTACACGGTTCTCATACTACGCAGAGCTAAAAATCCGACATCCCTCCGACTACACGGACTTCCTATTATACGGTTTTTGTTCACAGCCCACAAGTTCCTTGCGCAACCTATGAATGATTCTAGGAATTCGATATCAAAAGGGTATTAAGGTAAGTTTTGTTAGCGACTTTTATCATTTAGGCATGCCTGATTATATAATAGCTGTCTAAGAACACGTTCGAAGTGACTACTGCCTCGCGCCAATTTTTGGATAAGATGTCTATGTCATACATATCATTTTATCCGTATTACTCCTACTTCAAGTTGTATTCCTTGGTCTCCATACAACACGATAAATATGGTGCGATTTGTACTAATTCTGAGTCTCTCATAGCGCGGTTCCCATACTGCACTATGTAAGTTTCCATAAAACGCACTATGAATTAGCCTGAATTGTATGTTGAATACGAGTTTCTTATACCACGATCCCCACACTGCACTTGCCGCATTAACCAAGGGTTGACTGTATTCCAGAGGACCGCGTTGTAGGAGGGTTGACTATGTCAATTAAATTTGATTTTGTATTTAATTTTATTTTTTGTTCTGTTCCATAGATAAGGTAATTTTATGTTGTATTAATTTGATTTATTTGTTATTACTGTGAGAGCAAACAAAAAATGTTGTCAAATAATAATGTTCAAACACTTTCGTATAAAAAGTTGAAGCAGCTAGATAATTTAATAAACTCAGATAACCTGGAAATAATAAAAAATGCTATAAAAATATTTGAAAATTTTAAAGTTGTTCTAAAGTATTGGGAAGACGTGTATAAATTGAATCCTTAATGTAGAAAATCGTTAAAATTGTTTCAATTTTTAATTATTTATTTAATTTATCCAACCTCTGGTAAAGCCAAATTCTCAACTATGGACTATTTTTTTTGTTTTTTGAACAGAATTTATAATTTAAGAGCTATATAAGCTTTTGTGATCAGCAACCCAATGGTTGTCCTATCTAACATATTTTTATCAGAAGGCAACCCAGTGAATGGCAACCCTTTTTCTAGAAATGATGAAATTAACTTACGCCAGCAATACCCGCAAAAGCTATTTTTACTTGAAAACGTAATTGTGAACTTTATTATTAAATGAAAATCGATGTAACTACTGCTTGATATCAGGTTGTCTGAAGCACTAAGTGAAATTTATTCATATAGATATCATAAGATATTGACAAAAAAAAACAAAAAAACAGGAAATCTTGCAACTCAAAATATCAATTCATTTTTTATATTTTCTAATATAATTTTTAGACTGTGTATGAATTCAAACATTCTATAAGAGTCGTTCGTAGTACGGTGATAAGAGCATCGGCCTCGCAATCAGAAGTTGTAAGATACAATTTCAATTTTTTTTGTTATAATTTATTTTTGTTAATCAAGAATTTAATGTCTTTTTTACAAAATTGATATGTGCAAAAAAAAGAAAAATTACAAAAAAATAAATTGACAATTTCAATGATATAGTTTGAATCAAGCGATAGTGATATCCGTTTTTACTTCAAAACAAAGACCTAAATATGTTTCTAAGTAAAAAATAACCTCCATGGACATTTTTGCATCACTGTTTACAAGTGTACAAAATAATATTATGATCACAAAAAGGATAGAAAAGGTTTAAGATACGATTTCAATTATGCGATGTGAATCAAGCAGTAGTGATATCCGTTTTTACTTAAGAAGATAGACCGAAATATCCGTTTTAATTGAAAATAACGTTGAGGGACATTTTTGCAATATATCATATCACATTTTACAAGTGTATGAAATGAAGATGTCATCACAAAAAAATGGCAATGACAACCATTGGGTTGCCAATTATCAATACTGAGGAGTAGAAAAAACAACCATTGGGTTGCCATTTAAGATTGTTGACTAGTAGAAAATACATCACAACTATTTGTTTTTATAAAAACCCTGAAATGTTCACATAAAATCCAAACACATTTGTTATAATTCTTTCAGAAGTTATATTATTATAATTTATATAATATTTACACGAAAATGTACACATTGAAATATTTGCAATAATTTAGTTTTTATATTTCTATCTATATTTTTTGTATATATATAATTTATTTATAATTTGTGTTGTATGTAAAGTCTTTCTTTTAGCAATAATTAATAATGATAATAATAATAATATAATACTAACAATAATGTTTAATTCTATTATAATGGTTTAAAATGTAGAGGAAAATGTGGGCAAGTAATAAAGGAAATTTGAATATTTGAAATGATTTGTTAAAGTTAAACTTTATCTAAAATTCGATGAAAATTGTGATTTATTGTTTATATTTTTATTAAAAAACAAGTCAATATTAATCATATTAATTATTTTAAACGCTTGTGCAATTTTATATTGTTAGCCATATGTAATTTATTATTTTTCAGCTTTTGATAAATCTAACCATTATAAATTAGAGGTAATACTTCAAATTTATATACAAAAAAATATTGATGAATTATATTAAAAATTAATAAATTTTAGTTTTGAAAGAAAATGCAAGTATGGAAATAATACATACCTCTTTAAAAATAGATAGAAATCCAAATACTATTTCAACTTATCTTTCATCCTCCACACATTTTCCTATACATTTGACAACCATTTTGCGAAAATTATATTTTCTACATTATATACATTTCTGTGTTTTAAATTCGGTTCATTAAGCAGATTTCAAAAAATTTTGACACATATTTCATAGTTTAACATATTCTTCACTGGTTTATTATAAAAAGAACAATACGCACACTCAAAATCTTTTGTGAATTTTGTTTATAATTTACACTTTATAAAACATTAGTGTTTGACAGGCGTCCATTTTGGAATTGATATAACCTTTTTAGTTTTAGTTTGTTCGGTTTTATGTTTATTATATATCAAACAGTTTATGAAATTAGTTAAGCGACACACAAATATTATTAACAAATTTGTAATAATTTTTGAATACTATAAATAATAACACATAATCCATAATTTGGATTTTTTGACGTCCTTGCACAATTTCTTGTTACATACTAACTTGTTAGTAACAATTGTTATCAGCCTTTGCTGCAGTGCAGTGCTGTGTTGCCATATTTAAAAATCAAGGCGCCAAATTTAAAATTTGAAATTACTCTAAGCACTTCTTTAAGTAAACATATATGTCAAATTTACATTGTTATGTATATATATATATATATATATATATATATATATATATATATATATATATATATATATATATATATATATATATATATATATATATATATATATATATATATATATATCATACTCAAAGAAGCAGTTATAGTATAAATAGAAACACTTACAATATTGTCCATATTAAATATAAGGTTTCATGCCGAAAGAGCATAAATTCGTTAAAACTGTAGCCCATTACCATTTTCTGATGATAAATCACATAATTCAGTAGATTATCCAAGATTTCACTTGTTGTCCTGAATCCTAGTTATGTATTCACTGATACACAACTTGTCTTATCAAAAAACCACCGTTGGAATTATTTATTTAAAAATTGAATGTTTAATAATAAACTTTTTTTTAACATAGGCTTAATAACTGTTCATCACATTCATCCAAATTTCTGGATAAAAATGTTGTCCCACATTGTTGACACTGAATACACTGTTTATCCATTTTATTTTAAATGTTTCATCTTCACTTGAACATTTCTTGGTCACTCTGAACTTTTCACACTGATTTGAACATTGTATGTGTCTTTTTTTAACAATAAGCCACTAATAATATTTGACTTATCCTTTAATGTCTGTTACCTCCGAAACTTAAACTAAACCACAATAATCTTTAAACTAAAATTAAATTTATCACAAATGTCACTTCCGTTTCAACTACCAAACCAATCCTTCACTGTGCATATTTTGGGGTTCGCTAAAAGCAGGAGGTACACCTCCGCCTCCACCGCCGCCCATAAACTCAGGCGAGGAACCTCCACCACCTCTTGGTGGTACACCAGGTCCACCAGGACCTCCCATATGGTCTCCTGCGGGTCCTTGCATAGGTCCACCTCCTCCAGCACCGCCACCAGGACCTGAAGGATTCATGAAGGCGCCTTCGAAGTCACCCATCATTCCACCAGCACCCATACCAGGACCTTGATCTAAAAAAAGAATTGATACAGTTAAAGACTTGTATTAGAAACAAATTATTTTTGGTGAATATGAATATTTACCTCCATGATGATGTACTCTATCTAGTCCCAACCGAAACCTTCCAAAATCATCCCCAAATCCGTTTCCGCCAGCTCCTCCCGGTCCTCCAACCCCATGCATTCCTCCTTGAGGGGGTACCGGCGGTCCTCCAAAGAAATGCGGAGGCGGACCTCCGTCTCCGCCATGATGATGGAACCCTGGGGGGTACGACAGACCGGCGAATTCAAATTTATCGAAATAGGGTGGAAACACGCCACCTCCCACGGAGTCTTCGTGAGGGCTCAGATTCATGGGGAAGCCTCGCATCTTGCGGGATCCTCCAAAGAAGGGACCCCGACCCATTGATGTCAGTTGCTTGAGACGACGTTCTTTCGAGCGTTTGTTTTGGAACCACACCTGGAAGAGGAAAGAAATTTTTGGTAAATATACGCTGGATTGCATGTTGGGTAAATATATACATGCTAATTGTATAGGTTCAATATTTTATTTCTTTAGTAAACTACGAATAAACGATAACAATATTGCCAACTCTTATTATTTACATAAGGCCCTATCGCCCAGGATCGGCTTGACGTTAAATTCTGGAACACCCTGTATACATATATGTTTGTATTAATTCCGTCTTAATTGACTCATCACGATTCCGCTCTTAGCTGAATCTGGCTAAACGTCTTCTCGTCCTATAATTTATTTTTTCCTTGTTTTCCTCGGCGTCAAACTTTTTATCGTTTTTTATTCCAACTATAATTTCTGTAATTTCTGTTTATTTTTCCCTCTGCTATATGATTTTCCCCATGTGGGGCGTTTGCGTTCCTCATTAGTAGCAAACAAAAAACACGTGTTTATGTTCAGTAATTAACGGCAAAAGAGTTTTGAGCGAATTAATGATTTTTGCACGAAACATACAGGCTAAATGCTGTCAGGGATTTGAAACAATTAAATAATCTGGGAATACGGTGATTATAATTTATAATTTATGTGGTGTTAAAGAGTTGTAATGAGAAGCGTGTGGGTGAAAATAAAATTATCACTGCCAGATGGATGCAATCTGTATGTAACTAAATTATTTATCCTAAATTATTTATCCTAATCACTGTCATGTTAATCACAGTTTTACTTTATTTGGGCCACTTCTTTAAAGTTTTTCAAATAACTTTAAAATTTTGTTCTAAATACTCTAATTTATTTACAGTAGCTAAAACTAGATAAAATTTACTAAAATTTAGTGTAATTATATATACTAGCATACTATAATTTTGTATAAAATAAATAATAAAACTTGTATTTTGCTAGTTAAAAAGTTATTTTATTAAATGGAGATTAGGACAATTTTTGGGATTTCTTGAAAAAAATATTCCAGACTTAATTCGCATTAGTGAAATCTAAATAAAATTTAATAAAATTCGTTACAAATGTTTATATATACTTCAATACTAAAATTTTGTATAAAACTATTTGTAACGCAGAATTTTATTAAATTTTGGGATTTCTGTAAAAAACTTGAAAAAAATATTCTAGACATTTTACTTCATAGACTCTAGCAAAAACTAGATAAAATTTAGTAGATTTCGGTATGAACACTTATATATATTTGGTTTTTTATGAAGGCAGGTCCAGCCGTAAAACGTAAAATGTTTACTAATGCCGTACGGAGTGAACATATTTATGTTTACTTGTACGTTTTTTGAACTTTGAATTCTATATTTGACAATTATTAAAAAGGAATAGTTTTACCATAAATTATCAAAAACTTATATTATCAGAATCTTATACGTTTAGAATCTTTAACTCTTTTTAATAAATAATCAATTTTTGATGATTAGACATGTGTGTACATCAAATTATACACCATGCATTAAAAATTTGAAAAAAGTCGATTTTCTTCAAAAAATTTCAAACAGTCTTCAAAAATTCTCAAAAAATCCAGATTTTTGGAAAAAATAAAGTTTTCGAAGAAGTTGATTTTTATAAAAATTTTAAATAATTTCAAAATTTTCAAAATGATCATATAAAAATAAAAAAATTTAACAATTTAAAGTTGTCGAAAAAACATTTTTTTTTTCAAAATTCTGAAAAAAGTTTGAAGTAAAAAAAATTAAATCACGGCACGGTTAGTTCCAGCAATTTTCATTAAGACACGATGTCTAGTTGTTGATAAAGATCAATCAAGCAGTTTCTTCGTAATAAAAGTTAGTCAAAATTTTAAATTTGAAGAGATTTCAACTCTTGATGATGATCTTAATTATTTTCAAAAAGTTTACGGAAAATACCACTTACTTTTACCACGTTTTATATTATTTTCATAAGCACGTTAATCATTTGGAATATTATTTATATTTTTTTAATTTCCCATTGATTTAATGTTAGTTATTTTCCAATTTGATGAATTAGGTATTAAAACAAGAGGTATGTCCATTGTATTTGTCTATTTTTGTTTAGTTGTTGTTTTTTTATACCTTCACGGTAATTACTCACTGCGAGTCAGTCGTAGGCTTACGAGCTGTTAATTTATCATTCACGGTTGCATCACTATAATTTCTACATCGTTATATGCAGAGGACATATAAAATGTTAATTAAGTGTTAAATACAGAAGTTGCTAGAGGTACTCAGGGATAGGCTTAATGATAGTTATCAGACACTACCATTTTTGGCAACTATTAGAAAGGAATAAAGTTATTATATATTATCAAGAACTTGTACCTACTAGGTCCAGAATTTTTGAATCCAATGTTCAAATTATTTTCTATAAACAATTCTAAGGATTTTAAGAAATCGGCATTTTCAACCGTTAATTTCAAGAGAACGGCCCGATAGATTTTTACTAAACTAAACTAAAACTAATCAGTATCATTCCCAACCAATATCTTTCGAAGAGTTTTTGATTTTTTAAAATCGACTTAGGATTCAGAGCTAAAACGTGGACGAAAATTGTTTCATTTTTCTGCTATTTACAGAGAAACGGCTCAGCCGATCAATGCACAAAACTGAGAAAAGATAATCCACATCGAAATACATTGATTTGCATTTAAATTTTTGAAATCGGTTCAGATGTTTTTAAGCAAACGTCGATGAAAGTTCTAATTTTGACAAACGCCAAACAAACGATACTAATTTTTGCAAACTTTGACGAACTTTTAAAATTAAACGACTTGTCGTAGGGCCGTAATATTTTAGTATGATCTATAAGACTATGGTATCTTTCATAAAAAAAATTCAATAAAATCGTCGAAGAACATTTTTTTAACACTTTATTACAAGAAAACATGCCGGCCGATCTTTACCAAAAACTAATCAGGTCGATTCCCAAACAATATCTTTCGAACGGTTTTTGAATTTTCAAAATCGATTCAGAATTGCGGGCTAAAACGTAGACGAAAAGTTTTTACTTTTCTGCTATTTACAAAAAAACGGCTTGGCTGATTATCGCGCAAAATTGATAAACGCTAGTCCTCATCGAAATACATCGAATGGCTTTTAAATTTCCAAATCGGTAATCGGTCCAACCATTTTTGAGAGAACGTCGATTTACGGCAAAAAAATTCTTCACACACACACATACTTTTTCCAAATTTGGTCTCATTCGATTGAAACGTCGAGAAAACATAAAATTAGCGAATCGGATTTTTTGGTGAAACATAAACTTCTCCTTCGGAAAGTCAAAAATCAAAACAAAATTAGTTGATGATAATAACGCAAACCAAAATTTTATAATACAACTATATTACTCAATGATGCATCTGCACACTTTTGTATGCTGCAACAGCTAAGGTACAGGAGCTTTTACAACATGATAATAATTTAATATTGTTTAAGATCCTATTGAAAAACGCCTGTTACTAATACTGCGTACTAATACTACTTACTCCTTAGACCCCTAGTACTACATTAATATGTAATGGTTAACATATTAATATGTAATAAATGTGTGTTTTAATATGTAAATATATTAATAATACTACATATTGTTAAATTTTACCATAATCAATAAATAACTCTAAAAATAAAAGAATAGACAGACATCAACTTATACAGCTCGGCAAAACACTAACCCACTTTTAATTCCATTCCATCGTCGTCCGAAAGAAGAATAGACACATTTTTAATTAACGCCAAACGAGAACGGGAACGAATAACTCATGAAATGGTAAAAAAAGGAATATGTTATGAATCTTATTATTTATTATAAATATAAATCTGCATTCGGCGATTTGCCCTCAGTTGGAAATGCGCATGTCAAATCCAAATGCCTTTTTGTATGCGAAATGCGAGAGAGCGCGGCTCTTGAATTTGTGATTCCGACCAAACGTACCCCAAGGGGCTGGACGACGAGAGCGGTCGAAGGCGCAGGCGCAGGCGCGGGACGACGATTTTCATATATCATCATCTGCATATCAATATATATATACATACATATATACATATATCAATACAAAGGAAACTATCTAGAGACGTAGTGCTGGAGAAGAATCGAGAAAATAAAATGGACCGACATGGTAATAAATGGAGAAGTACTGAGAAAAGAACTCTACTGTGTAAAGGAAACTACATCGGACCCATATTGTGAGGTTGTCACACGTCCTGGCCGAGACGGTTCTGGATTTTTAACTTATATACCAGATTTTTGGAAAACTAGTCCTATATTTTAAATACAGTCAACCCTCGGTTAACGCGGCAAGTGCGTACCGTGTAGTATCGGAACCGTGCTATAAAAAACTCGTATTCAACATACAATTCAGGCTAATTCGTAGTGAGTTCTATGGAAACTTATATAGTGCAGTATGGGAACCGCGCTATGAGAGACTCATAATTAGTACAAATCGCACCATTTTAATCGTGTTGTATGGAGACCAAGGAATACAACTTGAAGTACGAGTAATACAGACAAAATGACATGCATGACATAGACACCTTATTCAAAAATTGGCGCGACGCAGTAGTCAGTACAAACGTGTTCTTAGACAGCCATTATATAATCAGGCATGTCTAAAAAATAAAAGTCGATAACAAAACTTACATTAATGCCCTTCTGACATCAAGTTCCAAGAATCACTCATAGGTTGCGCAAAGAACTTATGGGCTGTTGAACAAAAACCGTGTAATGAGAAGTCCGCGTAGTCGGAGGGATGTCGGATTTTTACCTCAGCGTAGTATGGGAACCTTGTACACAGAATGCCGTGTTAACGAAGGGTTGACTGTACATTTCAACTAGAATTATATTTATAAAACGAAGATCTACAAAAACTGAGCATTTATAAATAAGTGCCTTCAAAGTTCAAATAGAGACACTGACAGCTATAATAAATTGATAACAGAACAAATAAATTCCTTATTATTTTACTTTATAGTCATTTTTACACATAAAACCTAACCTTCAAAATGTCAAATAACAATTTT